GGACCAGCTTTTATGGAGTTGTAGAGGTGGCCCAGGGCCCGGTTGATGATTACTTTTGTTTTGGTTTTGTCCGGTGACTCGGGGTGGGGGTGGCATCCTTATTATTTAATCCAGGCTCCGTGAAATGATTGTTTCTGTTTGGGGTGATCTCAGTTTTTCAGGGGCTCTGATGGAATCCCAGACGACTGTGGCAACTCCAGAAACTTCTGGGTGCCCTGGTAGTCGCGAATGTGCTGTGGCTCTGCTCTCCTGGTGCCTTCCATCTCGTGGTCACGTGATGTATGAGTGACCAGTCCGGTGCTCAGTGCTGCCTCAGTGGTTCACACACCAAGAGCAGAGCTGAGCAGGAACCTGACCCCCTCCCCCAAATTTTTTCCCCCAGTACTGGGAATTGAACTCAGGGCCTTGAATTATTTTTCCCTTTGTACCTCTGGTGGTCTCCAACTATCTCAGTAATAGAAACCTGGACCAACAATAACTTAAAGAGGGGTCTACCCCTCTCTCTCTCTCTCTATCTCTCTCTCTCTCTCTGTCTCTGAGACAGAGTCTCACTATGTAGTTGCGACTGCCCCAGAACCCACTGTGTAGCCCAGGCTGGTCTCGAACTCACAGTGATCCTCCTGCCTCAGCCTCCTGAGTGCTGGGATTACAGACGTGCACCACATACCTGCCTAGTTTTCTCTCTTAATAGTTCAGAGGTCTACCTATGCTTGTGTTGCTTTAGTTGGTCAGCGATGGCCCCAACTCTTCGAGTCTTTCTATTCTGCCATTTTATGTTTGTTGCTCCTTGGGTCAAAGAACAGTCACTCCAGATGCAAACATCATGTCCACATTCAAACTAGGAAGGTGTCACATGGCTACCACTGCCTGCATGGGAGATCAGGAAAGTTATTAGCTGTGCACTTTGACAGAGGGGTTCCCTTTGTAGGGAAGAAAGAGGGTACCAAATTTTCTCTTTCTTCTGGCAATGGTATTCTACATATAATACTCGTTAATTTATCTTTACCACCAACAAAATCCTTTTACTATTTGAAAAGTAGGAAAGTAGATGTCTTATAAATGGAGTATTAGAAAGTATCCAACATATTTTACTTCTAGATAAGGAAACCGCATCATTCTTAGAGGTAGTTTCTTGTGGTGGGGTAGGAAAAGCCAAGAATATTTTGAATAAACTTACTTTGAGTCATTTACTGAAATGTTAATAAGCTTGGGAAAGTATCTAAAACAAATATTGTGAAGGATTTATATCTCCAGTTTTAAAGAGCTCTTACATATGGGTCATACAAACCTTGCCCCAGTAAAGCTAAGGATAATGCTTTTGCATTCCAAATTGTTCATATAAACAAACCTACCTTACATTCTTGTCACTGGGACAAAATATCCAACTCCTACAATTTAGAGGAGGGGAAGTTTATTTGGCTTACGTTCCAGAGACCATGGTCAGCTGGCTCCAGGCCAGACATGGCGTAGTGGAAGGTCTGGTGGAAAAAAGCTGCCAGGAAGCAGACAGAAGGGAGGAGTCGGGCGCGAGACAGACCCTTCCAGGCGTCACCCGCAGTGAACCCACCTCTGCTCACCAACACCTTCAGCTGTGGATTCCTCGGTGGATTAACCCGCAGATGTGCATGGCGTGATCCAGTCACCTCCCAAAAGCCCGGTCTCTGAACGCATGAATCTTCTGGGGCACATCCTGGAAACCTTGACACTGTGTGGTCACCAGCACCTGGTGACAGGGTTCTTGGCTACTGGGGAGAGTATACATTGGGTATATATAAGTATAAACAGCCTTAAAACAGTAACGTACTTGTCCTAAAACTCAGCTCCAGAGAAACTTTCCTAATGAAATAATTTCGAATTGTGGGTCACCTGTTCTATATGAGCATGGTTTTGCTAGAAATAGTCATTTGCACAAAAATATTTGGAAAAATATATATCTTTAGAGAATAGTTATGTTCTGTAGGAACTCTCCTTAGTCTCAGTATACAATTAAATTAAGGATGCAAGCTGTTCGTATCGTATTAATTCCATTTGGTCACACAGAGAAGTATTTATTCACGTTCAAGAAATAGTGTATGTCAGATGGCACCAGTAGATATTTGTGGATGACAGAGTTGCATGTCATTATTTTATAAATTCTTTTTAATATTTTCCAATTTTCCTACAGTGAATGTAGATTATTTTTGTAAGTGTAAACATTTGGCTCTATTTCTCAAAAGATGAAATGAAAACGAGCATGTTTACCGAGAGCCTATTTAGAAGTCAAGAGTGTGGAGCTGCTTTGACCCAGGCCTTTGCACGGGGGCCGTTCAGCAGTAGAGAAGAATGTCCCACTGACAGGAGGGACGGTGCTCCCCGGCGTTCTCCTCTCTGGAGCTCTGGTTTTTCTCAGTCCTGCCACGAAGGGACTGTTTAAAGGGAGTTGTCACAGTGGTCCATTCTTCTTCACGCAAATCGTGATGGCTCTGTCTTTCTCTTAGAAGGTTTCTCTGTCCCTCTTTTCTGTGACGCGGACAGGGCTGAGGTCATGAAGGCTGTAGCTCCGTGCAGGAAGGGAAGGGGCCTCACCAAAGGAAGCAGTTTGCCTTTATGTATGCAGTCACCTGGAACTAAGTTGTGCAAGCCTGACGAGGCCACGGTCTCAGCGTTTAAGTAGCCCTTCCGTTCAGTGCAAGTAGAAAGCAAGGCCTCCGTATTTTTCAAGTTCCCCATGTTTCGCACAAAATAAGCCCTACCCAGAAAACCGCCAGCCTTGAAAACGAGAGATCAGAAGGCCAGTGCCGGTCAACCAATGATTCTTGCCTTACCTGCTGTCCCTTTCCTGCTTGGTGTCTACTTTACAAGGCAAGTAAAGCACGAGTAGGCGGACTGGAGCTGGCATCGTTCATCTCGTTTTCAAGGCTGATTATTTCCCAGTTAGGTCTTATTTCAGGGGAAACAGGGTAACTGTCTCTGCTCCAGAAACGCACTTGCATGACTCTGAACATGTGAGTACGTGTTACTTTCACCATCTGCCCTTAATGGGTTTCTGTGATCACAGTGGGAGGACAGGAGGAATATTTCCCCTGAGGTCTTCTGTCACACCCCAAAGTCAGCCTTTCTCTCAGGTAGCCATGGTGTGACAGACACTTGAGGGTTCCAGAAATACTAGATCATCATATGCTCCTTGGAAACCCTGGTACAAGCCACATGCTTTTAGAGCTGCAAGACCCGTAAGGGTTCACTTTCAGTTTTGCTTTGCATTTCTTGCCAAGGACTTTCCCAGGCCTGTGAGACTCCTAGACTGGGACAAGGTTAGCCCTAGGTTAGGCCAGCTGAGTTGGGAGCCCTCATAGCTTGAACGTCCCTAAAAGATTCAGCTTGTCTGCCCCTGGATTTCCTGAGAGCTCCTGTCCATGGATTTTAAGGAGAAAGCTTTGTTTGTGAATGGCTAGCCAGTAGCAGGGCGCTGGCTCATGGAAGCAAGGAGCTCCTCTAAGAGTTTCATGTCTCTGCATTGTTTTCCTTCACTTTCTTTGCGTTTCAGTTAATCTAGCCTTTCGGCAGGATGAGGGTCAGGAATGGGAAGTTGCCATTTATAGAGGGTGAAGTATGCAGAGGGCTTAATTGCAATCCTGGGCCCTTGCAGACAAGGATATGACTTCACATGAAAACAGCGGTTTCCCTCTCGTACTTGGAAGCCGGCGGCGACTTTCTTCTAAACAATGGAAACTCGTCTTATTCGAAGCAGATGTTTCTTTCACTTTTTGGCCCTTTATACACAATCAAAAACCGTCATTGAAACATTCTCTGTCTTGGGATTGATTTAAAAAAAAAAAAGATACTGGGTCTCATGATGCCCCATGGATATTTAAAATCTGGCCCCTCACCAGAACTCTAGCCACCTACCCAGGTTGTCTCAAACTCTTTGCCCAGAATAAAATCCTTGATTGCCCCCCACAGCCTATAAATTAACTCTTCTCCACGTTTCCTCAGTTTGAGAAGGGTTTTCCCGTCAACCTGGATGTCCGAGCAAAACTTCACCTCGTAAGTTATCCCCAGTTCTTTGCTTTCCTTTATCCCACAGCTGCGAGCAGTTCTCCTGGCCTTGCCTCCATATTATATCCCCAAGCCTTTGATGCTTCCCATTGGGTTGTTATCTCCTTCCTTGAAGCTGTCTTTTAAACTTCCTCCTTGTTTGCTTGTGATCGCTCTTCTACCAAGCAGGAAGGATCATCTTCCTAAAGTAGTAATCAGATAACGCTTACACCTAAACTGTGTGGCCCCGCTCACGTGTGGTGCCTGACGCTGTTCATTACTTTTCCATAGCAATGAGAAGAGAATCTTTACCCCTACCCTGGTTTAAAAAGTCCTCTGGGGGGGCTGCTCCCCAAACCTGTATAACCTCACCACCTGTTGCTGTCTTTCCCACCCACAGTTCCCAGCCCCAAGCTCCTTACCTGTGCCAAACCATCGACCTTAGAGAGCCTTCCTCCTTCCAGGAGTGAGCTTTCCTGTCTTCCCATGGCTCGCTCTTAACATTTTAGTTTGTTTTTTTGAGACAGGGTCTCACTACGTAGTTGAGACTGACCTGGAACTCACTGTGTAGCCCAGGCTGGTCTTGAACTCACAGCAATCCTCCTGCCTCAGCCTCCCAAGTGCTGGGATTATAGGTGTGCGCCACCAGCCCTGGCTGGCTCCTAACATTTAGAACAAGAATCCTGGTAAATGTTACCCCTCTTAGAGGTCTTTTCAGCCTGTCTGGTGACATAAGCATCCACCAAGGCACCACCCTTCTAGAACTTACAACTTTTCTTCCTACTGGTGCCTACAGCAGAATCTGAGATCCATGACAGCAGAGGTCTCACCTGCTTTGACACCACTGTGTGGCCAACACCCCAGAAGAGGTGTTGTTTGATGTGGTCTGGGCCCTATCCTCAGCTGTTTTTCTTTTAATGTGGAATCCAGCTTTCTCTCTACCTCGGTAGCAATAGACTGTCTTTCTGCCTGTTTTGTGTTTATAGCAGAGTGGACTTTATGAGTATAAAGTCTTCGGTACGTTAAAGGACTGCTCCCCAGTGCTACTCGCAGATGTCTACATGGATTTAGAATATAGAAAACAGTGGGACCGGTATGTTAAAGGTAAGTGATGCCGGCTTTATTAATAAAAAATTAGAAATTAGAGCCTGTTCTTGTTGACCCTAGCCAGTAGAAAGGAACAGAATTTGTTTCTGCTATGTTGTGCTTCTTTTTAAATTTTGACACAAAAGTCTTCCGAGTGTGGGCCTGAAGCGCAGCTCAGCTGCTCTGGCTCTTGCTCCTGAAGTCTCCTTAGATCCCCTCTGCCACTTGCTTTTGGAGCCGGTCTGCTCTACTTGTGAAGAAGCTGTGTTTGCATCCCAGGTGCCAGGGTGGCCGTGGAAGGCTCCACAGAGGAGGTGGCGTCCAAGCTGTGCGAGTTGAATCAGAGCTCTCTAAACAGGCAGGAATGCGTATACGTGAGGAGGTGGAGGTGAATGGTCTGAGGGTGTCCCTGGTGCAGGGAAGGACACAGGAGCGAGGTCAGGGAAGCAGGAAGTGGTATGTTCACCGAGCACCAGCAGTTTGGTGTGGCTGCGTGGGCCGAACCAGCAGAACCTGCCCCAGCTCTTGTCCTACTTCCAAGGGTGGCGCTACTCCTAGGGACCTAGGGCGGCAGGAGGACAGACCAGGTTCCTGGGGGCCTAGCATTGCCTCCTGGTTACAGATCTTGGATTTTACCCTGTAAGAGACGAGGCCTTGCAAAGGCCATTAAACAGGGGCTCCCCCTGCCTTTAGAGCTGGGAGAGGCCTCTGCCATCTGAGTAATAGTGGAGTTGACCTGCAGAGCTGGCCACACCTGGAGTCTTTAGTGAGCACTCCTGGCTGCTTCCAAACAAAAGCCAATCAAAGACAATGTAAAGAAAAGAAAAAGAGTTTACTGCTTTATGGCATTAAAAAGCCCAGAGCTTTCCAGCCCTAGGACAGTTGTTTTTGAATAATTCCAAACGTCAGAATGTTTCCTTCTCCAGCTCTAGACTCTGTGTTCACCTAGTTCTAAGATTCTTTTGTCCAGGCAGTAATGGCTTCTGGAAGATCCAGGCTTATAATGCAACTCCTCAGTGACCCCAGAGGAAAGCGAATTCTAGCGGTGGCAGCCAGAGTGCCAGGCTTGGCTCCCAGCAGAACCTGCTAGACCGGGCGATCCCTTCAGTCCTCAGCTTAGCAAGATGCATGGAAAGGAAAGGCCTTAAAAGAAAAACTTTCTGTACTCTAGTGACATCTGGTGGTTCCCTTGATTCAAAACCCTCTGCTTATTTTTGGATACTTGATTTTGTTTGGTGGCTTTTGGCCCCAGAATGCTGATAGAGCTGTACCGTAGAGGAGTTGCCAGGATCTTTTGTTTTTCTATCTTCCTGAGCAACGTGCTTCTAGTGGGAATGAACCCGCTCAATTTTGTTTGCGAATTCTTAGGCGTTGGGGGTCGAACATACATTGTGAGGTCATCCCGCCTCGGCGTCCCACTGCTCGGAGCCAGAGATGTTTGTAGATGTGCTAACTTCTTCTGTCCTCCTTTAGATATCTATGAAAAGGAATGCAATGGAGAGACCGTGACGTACTGGGAAGTGAAGTATCCCTTCCCCATGGCCAACAGAGACGTATCCTTCCTGCAGAGCACACCGTCCCTCTGGGCTCTCAGTGTGTCCCTCACAGTGCAGGGGATGGGGCTGATGCTGCAGCAGGTGGGGCGACGTTGTCTCTTCCTCTTGCAGAAGCATCTGCTGCCTGGGTGGTTTTCATAAACCTCAGTGTGCTTTCCTGCCTGGGCCCGAGCCCAAGGAGCATCTGCCACCGTGGGCCCTGAAGGGCAGCCGTGCTTCCAGACGCGTTGTCCAGGCATGGAAACTGTTGAGCCTTAGCGTTGGGGTGCAGAAGGAGCTTTTCATAGAGACTGGTGCCTCGGCCCCTCAGTCTAGAGGACGAAGTGGGTCAGGAGGGGTGATGGGCAGAGCCGAAGCCAGAACTCCAGGCCTTGCCCATCCTCCGCTCGCCCCGCAAGCCCTCCTGACTCCGCGGACTGCACAGGGGCCCCTTGATCGTTGGCTGTGGTCACGGGGCCTCTAGGGAATGAAGTAGTGGAATGAGATGAGGGGAACCTGCCTGGTTCCCTGGAGCTCTGAGACGCCCCCCTCAGAACCAGCCTAAGGGGAAGCGGGGAGGTTTTCCCGGTGGATCAGATGGGGCTGAATGATGGACAGGTGACGCTTCAGCTCCTTCGCTTCTCTTTGTGAATTCATTTTCCAAGGAAAACAGTGTCCTAATGAAAGGTCTTAGCAGAATAGTAAGAAAAAAACGTTTAGAAGCTATTCAATGAGGTGATCCCTGGAACCTTTTCCAGCTTTGCTATTATGTAAGTCTGTTTGTTCCTAAACAATTCTCCGGAAAGAGGGAAAAAGTGGCAGTGCTTGTGTGTGCGCCTGTGTGTCTGTCCTGGCCCCCAGCTTGCCAAAAAAGCACCACAGGAGTCCATTTCTTCACACACTGTCCACAGACTGGTAGTTTACAGTCACGTGGCTTGTAGTTCAATGAATTGTTAATCGCTTAATCCTTTAGATTTTAATAAAATTTTCTTTTCAATGTAATTCTGCCCTGCCATGGACAGTGTAATTCCCATATCATCCCCCCTATTTCACACGTGAGGAAACTGATGAGGCAAAGAGAAATTGAAAGCTCTCCCGGGTTTGCACCACTGCTGTGAGGCAGGGACGGGTTTGGGGTGCAGGTTCAGCTGTCTCCAAGGGCGGACTGAGGCACGATCTCACCTCTGATGGCACAGTGCTCACAGTGACACTGCCTCACAGGTGTTCTCAGAAATGGATCTATAAGAATGCTCGAAATCCCGTTTCACTGGCTTTCCAATGCTACACAATCCTCGAATGAGTTTCTTAAGTCTTTGTTTATGCCTACACATCTCCCTAATTTAGGTTGTAAAATTTCTAGGGACACAGAAGAGATCCATGGAAGAGAATACCTGCTTGGCTGTTGTTGTTTTTGAGGCAGGGTCTCCCTCTGTATACAGTCTAGGCTGGCCTTGAACTCCAGTGATCCTCCTGCCTCAGCCTCCTGAGTGCTGGGATGACAGGTGTGCGCCACCACACCTGGCTCAAGAACATTTGTTTTAGAACAGAAGATCCGAGGGAGGACCTTGGGAAGGTCCTTGTTTCGGCAAATCAGTGGTCACAGGTTGTATGGCACCTGGTACTGGGAGCACCGTGACAGATCATAATCAGTGCGTCCAGATGGCGTTTCCTCTGCGAGTGTTGAGTGATGCGGTCCTGTGGGCTGAGCACGTGGTGAAGGGAGTGAGTTGGTTTTTGCTGTGAGGGAAAAGTGAGAGGCTTGGGAGGAGGAGAGCAGAGAAAGACAGCATTGTCCATGCTGCTGGGCGACGTGGTGGGCCCCTAAGAGTTCGGGGACCATCCAGTGAAAGGGATGGGGTTGGTGGGGGCTGGGAAGAGCCTGAGATTTTCAGTAATGGATTGTATAGTTCTTAGAGTGACTCTTTTGGTGTACTGGGAACTAAACCCAGGGCCTTTGCACTGAGCTACAACCCTAGCTCTTTTAAAATATTTTACTTTTAAGACAAGTCTCACAAAGTCACTACGTTGCCCCAGCTCAGGCAATTTGGAATCCTCCTGCCTCAGCCTCACAGAGTGCTAGGGATTACAGGCATGCGTCGCCATACTCAGCTAGAGGGACTTTTTGATTGCCTTAGGCTTTGAATTACTTTTGCAGCGCTGTTATTTGAAAGTATAATTAAAAAACTTGAGCCCCGTCCAGCTATGACATTCTAAATCGGGACTAGAACCAGGTCCGGGTTCAAATTTAGGTTCTATCCCTTCTACTGGGTCATAGGATCTTAAGCAAGTTTCTTACCTCAAGTTTTGTCAACCACAGCATGGAGGAGATTACTGATAATGATATTCCCAGGTCTTTGCAAGGTCAAAATTGATGCTGTATGGAATCAAAAATATGGTAAATGTTTACATGAAAAATTAAAAAATGACTACAGCACAAGACACATTGCCATTCCTGTTGGGCTGTCCCGGTGTCCTGAATTAATTCAAAGCGTTTACGGAGATGTCTTTCAAATGGACATATTACAATGTGCGCTCATCCGCCTGACTCATGGGCTCTGGCACTGTGCGACTTCTAGCTCTTCCTCAAAATCAGAATGACCGTGAAAGGTCAATGACTTGAATCAATTTTCAGGACACCCGAGCCACTTCCAAAAGTGGCAAGAGCAGTACGATGGAGAGTGTGTTCCGAGCAGGGGGAGCATTTTGAGGGAGATTAATGGCAACGTGCCTCTTACTGTATTGAGATTTGCGTTTTTTGCTTGAAGTATTCACCAGCCGCACCCTGTAGACGTGGGGAGCGGGCAGCGTTTATTACCGGTAAGGGCTCAGGAGCGACTCTGGTTTCTTCGCGTGCGCTTACCTTCCCTGTGACAGACACAGCCCTGGTGGTTGCTGTGTGGAAGTTTATGGGGAGGAAGAGGCTCCGTCATCCTCAGTGCACCACTGCTGACCCGGGGAGGGCACCTGCCTACTGAGTATTCTGGTCCCTGCCTGATTGCTGCCCCCAGTTGCAGCGCTGCCGACGTCTGTGCATGCAGATCTGTCCCCAGGGCGTGGGTGAGGACTGGATAAGGCAGAGCGACACCGTCGTCTCCGGAGGGCTTCTGCCCTTGTCTCACTCTGAAGGCCCAGCAGGCCTGCGGCGCTATCACGCCCCTCTCCTGCATCCAGAGGCTGCAGGTGACTTGCCCAGGCTCACACGGCGGGTCAGTGGCAATCCTTTGCCCTCGCCGAGTGCCTTCTGGAGAAAGGAGGGATGGTGTCCTTGCAAGATGAAAAGCATCCGTGAGTCCTCGCCGGGCACCACACCCCAGGACAGACTGGGAGACCAGGCAGATGACGACATGGGGCCAGCAGCCGCAGCAAATGCCCAGTGGGAAGTGCGATCTCGCCTCCTTTGCCTCCAGCTTGCGAGGCTCCCCTGTCCTGTGCAGTGCTGGTGGCCTTGTGGAGCCTTGACGGGCAGCTCAGTATGTTTACATCCGGCAGCGGCGAGACCTAGAGGTGGAGGGGAGGAAGATCCATGTGGTCCTGGCCCAGAGCACCTCTCTGCCTCAGTTTCCCGAGAAGCCTGGTGTGATCCGGGTAAATCAGTACAAGCAGAGCCTGGCGATTGAGAGCGATGGCCAGGCGGGGAGCAGAGGTAACGCTGGGGCCACGCTGGTGGGGAGCGAGTCGGGGCACGGAGTGGCGGTCAGTGGGGGCAGGCACAGGTGCACAGCAGACGGGGTCAGCACCTGAGAAGAGCCTTAATTCACCCTCCCCTCTTAGCTAGAGCAAGAGGAAGACGGCTGGATCTGACCCAGCCGCCCACTGTGCTCTGACTCTTGCCCTGGTCCTGGTAAAATCACATCAGAAGGAACTCGGAGGGCTTAGGACCCCTCAGGCCGGTCCTGTGCCACGCACACTGAGCTGGGAAAGGGCAGGCGTGTCGGGCACCTCTGTCTTGGAGGATGTGGCCCCGGCTCAGCGCAAACCCGGAGACCGGGGAGGACCTCTCTACCTTCTAAAGATCCAGCCCCTGAGAGGCAAGTGTGGGCGGGGCGGGGCGGGGAGGCGGCCACCTGCTGGACTGGATCGAGTGTGGCCCGTGTCTCGGGCAAAACCCGAACCATAGTTCTGACACTCGTAGAGCTGTTGTATCACCTAACCTCTTGGGGTCTCTGTTTACCAATCAAATGGGCTTAATTTGTCAGTTCCCGAGCATTGTTAGGATAAACAAGAGTCTATCTCCAAATGCCCAGCACAATGCTTAAAAAAAAAAAAAATAGCAAAATGGGCATGTGGCCATGGTTTTAAAAATGCTTGTGTATGAACATGCCACAGCAGGTCGGTGGAGAGAAGTCCTCTGGAACAGTCTGATTTCTGGGCCTGAATATGGAGGTGCACTGTTGGCAGGGGTTTGTTGCTGTTTTTCCAATATTTTGTCGTCTTTCTGTATTGTCTTTTCTTTACCCCTCTAGTGTTCATGTATCACTTTGATAACCCGTGTGGCCAAATCCCGTCCTGGCTCATTAACTGGGCCGCCAAGGTGAGATCCCAGGGGCGGGAGTGGAGGAAGGGTGTTTGGAAATGTTGGCTTAGCCGGCGAGGCTGTCAGGCTGAAGAGACACGGTGCCCCAGCGTCACGGGGCTCTTTTGTGAAGAGCTCGGTTGAGTGACTCCGGTTAGGAGCTGCCAACAACCCGGATGGAGGCAAAGACAAAAGACAAAGTAATTGTTAATTTGGAGTGCCAGCTCCTCCCTGCTGGTGGCCCCAGACCCGGCCAGGATCACTCTCTGGCACCTCTGGACAATCGGCTGCTCCCTGCAGGAAAAATTGTGCTTTTGGACCCAGTATGTGCTTATGAAAGAGGAAGACAGACCTGACTCGGGGGGTGGCCAGGCTTAACGACAACCAGACAAGCCCAGGCCTGATAAAGTCCTCTGGTTTTGTTGTTCCTTTTTTTCTTTTCTTTTTCTTTTTTGCTTCTGTAAGGGAAAGAAACTGCAAGGGTAGCCTAGGTCACTAGAGACTATCTAGGACCCTGGCATTATGGGGAGCATTCACCCTGTTTTATACAGGTTCAAGGGAGAGAGAAAATGCGCATCAATTTTCAGGTTGAAAAGAAGTGATTTTGAATCCTGGCTGTGCTGTTGACTGTGTTTTATTTACTTAGGGAAGCTGTGAATTTCTCCTTTTACAAAAATAGAGATAAAAGTTTTCTGTTCCATGGAGGAGCGTTTATAAAAGTCTCGTGCTTGGGTTAACACTATTAAGTAATAATACATCCTACCATCTGACCTCAAATCCTTACTCTTTCCTAATCCTAGAAAGCAAGTCCTTCTTGTTGCTGCTTTGGAAGATCCAACAACCCCGCAAGATCACACTTTCAGTCCTTTCTTTTCTCTTGAAGAAACAAAATCTCACAGAGTTCTCTGTATTTTATTAGCAATGGGCGAAATGGAAGGCAGTTCCTTGCAGCAACAAGGATGTCTAGACTTCCCTGTGCTCAAATCTTGCCTTTCATCATTACGTGTGAGAACATCCTGTTGAAATCTGCTTTGGGACCCTACTGTCTTTTATTGTGCCCAGAACCATCTTTCTCTACCTTGTGATCACCAGGAGGATATAAAAATGACAGTTTCTTTTCCTTTGCAGAATGGCGTGCCGAACTTCCTGAAAGATATAGTGAAAGCCTGTCAGAACTACCTCAACAAAACCTAAGAAAGAGAGCTGGGTGTAGCGGGATGCGCCTGTAATTCCAGCATCCTGGGAGGGTGAGGCAGGAGAATTATAATTTGAGCCCAACTTGGGCAACTTAGCAACTTGGTGAGACCCTGTCTCAAAATATACAAAGAGTGCTGGGGATATAGCTCAGCACCAAGACAGTGGGTTCAATTCCCAGCACCACACAAAAAACAAAAACGAAATCTAAGAAAGAAAACCGGGGTCCGTGCATCCACAGCACGACATTTCCGGAAGTGCCACAGTCCACTGATGCTCAGCCTTCCTGTCACAGTTCCGTCTCCAGAGACCTGCACACCCTCCAGCCCACATCCGGAAGCCTGCTTGCCTGGAGCCTGGCTCACCCACTTCCTTTCCTCCTCGCCCTGCCCCACTGTCAGCTGTCTCCTTCCCTTATTGAATAAGAAGCAAATTAAGGAAATCTTTGCTTGTTTATTTGTAAAAGGGAAGTCCTCAATAGGAAACCCAGGCATTCCATTGTGCCGTTTCAGGGGGACGGGTGGGTGGAGGGATGACAGCAACTTGTGAGAGGGGCCGTTCTTGGTAAGCTGGCTCCTCCCCAGAATGTGCTTTAGAAAGCAAGCCAGAGAGCTGTACAGAACTGACCCGCAGGACCCCAAACTGGAGACGTGTGCTGGTTTGTCTTCTGCTGTGTGGACTTCCTTAGGCTGGGATTTGAGGTATTAATCCAGTATGTTTTCCCCTGTTATGATATTGGGACCATTTTGTGAAGGATTGAAGTCCCAACTGAGCACGTAATGTGATAAACATTGTTTCCTCGTTGTCTATATCTGGAATTTATTCCAGTAGGGAAAGGCCACCTATGCCTCTAGCTCTGCATTTTACTGGAAAGTGAGGCACAGACAGTCAGCAAAAGGGAAAATTCTTCCTGAACATCACTGTGATAAAAGTATCTTTCTATGCCACGGGATGAATTTCCCTTCCTGAATGTTTGGAGATGTTGAAAGGGTAATGATAATTCGGGGTCAGGTAACATTTAATTAGTGGCTTGATTCTACACCTTTCTTGCCTCGGGAATTCTACCCACACTGTCTGCTGCTTCTTCCACCAAAAGGACTTTCAGTGTCCTGTGCTTTTTGCTGAATTTTGGTAGGGTCAGATGGTTTGTGGCCCAGTGCATAGCTTAATGATCTCAGGGAAATTTTTGAGTCACTATTCGTGTTTCATGGACACAAAGTCAAAAGAAAGCGTTTGTTAAAATGTGGTGCATCGAACTGTTGTTTTCTCTCAGGGAAGAAAAGCATGTTCCATGATGAATAAACACAGAGCGACTTACATCTGTCTTGTGTGTAACTTCTTTTCTTTTTAGTTTTGTGAGAGTGAATTCGTTCCACCACCACCACCACTACCACTGGGGATGGAGCTCAGGACCTCATGCTTGCCAGGCAGATGCGGTGCCACTGAGCTAAACCTCCATCCAGTTACATCTCTTGTTTGCACTTGACAAATGGCTTAACTCATGGCCTTGAACACACAAAGGATTTGGGGCTCACTTACCTGCAAGTGTACATGTTTAGGTAGAGATTGATACAGGCCCTCAAATTGAGGTTAAAGTCAGTACAGTTCTTCATTTTATCTTTGATACTCGTCTGCATTTGGGGGTGGGATTGCTGCTAAAAGCAATAGAAAGACCTTCATCTTCCTCATGCCAAGGAAAAAAATTGCATTTCCTTTCAAAGTGTCCTGTGCCATTCTATGATTTAGGCTCTCCTCAAATACACACCTACCTGTGCCCCAGTCACTAGGGACATGGATAGGATTATGTAAATACACTAATTCAATTTATCATCAAAGTATCATCATCAGCAACTGTAACTTAACTTTAGGCAAACTAAATAAAGCCTCATGTTGTACAGAATAAGCTGAAATCTTAGGTATAGATTCTTTGAAATGTAAGCACTAAGATTGCAGTTGTTTGTAGTTGTGGGGACTGGACTCAGGGCCTTGTTCATGTAAGACACTACCCAGCCTTTTAAATTTTATTTTGAGACAAGGTCTTAAGTTTCCCCTGGGCTGGCATTCAGTTTGTGATCCTCCTGCCTCAGCCTCCTAAGTAACTGAGATAATAAGCACTCACCCCCATGCCAAGATTATAGTCTTTGAACAGAGCTGACATGAAATAGTGTTATGCAAACTATTTCTTTAAACAGAAGTCATTGGTAAGAACTCAGAATATTAAGAGCACCAAATTTTTAGGTGAGGCACTTAGGAAAAGGTGGCAAAATGCTACTATAATTAGTGGGATTTTGACTCTTTGGCATTTACGCTTGCTAATTTGGAGTTAAGAACAATCCAACACAACGTTAAAATATGAAGTGTGGAAATGCAGAATCCTCTAGCTACAGTAGGTGCCAGGGGTGCCGAAGAAGTGCAGTGGCTGTTGATTTCACGGCAGTTGGATGGATCCCAGTCGTTTTCCCAACAAGAACTGGAAAGCTGTAAATCCGCTGTCATTTCTTTAGCTTACTGCTATGGCTTACCCCTCCCATGTCCGTGTAGCCAGTGACTATTCCATGGATGGAGACACGGTTGTTTTGATTACTGGCCCTTGAGTATAGTACGTAGTAGGTATTCACATGGGAACTGAGTGAATACGTGATTCAGAGAAGACAGTGATAGCAAACCCTGAAGCCTACACCCATCCAGGTACACAAGCTCATCCTCCTCTGATTCAAGTTAGCATTTGGGGTGGGGGTGGGGCTCTAGATTTCCTAGGTTTCTGTACTGTCGCGTTGTAGATGTGGCGTGGAATGGACCGTGTTCAGCTGAGCATTTTAGTTGAAATTTCATGACTCTAGCAGTGCTCTGAAAACTCCATGTTGTTTTCCCCCACAAGCAAATCATCCACACTCCTAACTATTCAAAGTTAATGGCTACCTTGGAGCCCAGGAGTAACAGCAGGAGGTCACTTCCCTTGAAAATGTTCCTATTGCACAGCAAGAGTCCTGGCCTGACTCCCTGGCTGAGATTCCTCCCCCAGGATCCCCATCCCTGATGCCTGCCCTTCAACCCTCCTGCTGCCCAGTTGGATTCGGAGGAGACAAAGCAGGAAGAGACCATTGGGTTTCATGTTTATGGTAGCACCACCCAGCTGGCTCAGGAGGGAGGTTTAAAAGCATGGAGCCATTCAGTCACTCACAGGCATTGGTTTATAGCCTGAGAGCATCCTTCTTGAGGCTGGGCAGAGTGCTTTGTGGGTCAGCCCTGGTGTCGGCCTGCAGGGAGCTTACGGTCTAATGTGAAAGCCAAGACGATCAGCTGCTGGAGATGGAGGACAGTGAGCAGGAAGGACCAACAGAGGGTGCTGTAGGGCACGAGCTGAAGGTGAGGGGAGAGGAAGAACCTACTGGAGCTGGCTGGGAGAAGATGGAGGAAGAGAACCATGCTAGACCAAAGATCTGACTGCGCAAAAGCCCTCAGCAAAAGAGTCAGCGACATCTGAGAAGACCAAAAGGCCAGTATGGCTAGAGCAATGGCATGGGGGAAAGGGTCTTTTTACCCCAGGGCACATTAATTGCACAGAACTCACTGTGATATTTTCAAACATCGATAGAGCACACTTTGAGCTGATCCTGCCCCTTCCCTTACTCTTCCCCCTCTCCTCCCAGAGGAAAGGAATCCTGCTCTTCACATGGCTAAAGAAACAGGCGTATAGGACACGGTGGTCTTGAGATCCCCGCAAGACTTCTGGGCTGGATACCAGGAGCACCAGAAAGCTTTGAAGGATTTTAGGTTGAGGAATGATTTAGCAAGGTTTACAATTCCTCACAGCTGTTCATTTTCTCCACGATCCCCCAACATCTCCAGTGGTCCCTCCGTGATGGTCCTGGGGGACCCTGTCATACTGTGTGAAGTCCTGTGACTCCGAATCTTCCTGTCAGGATGTGCATAGGATAGTTGATACTTAAATTGAATTTCCAAAGTGGACCACGGGCTTCTGAAGTTTACCTGGAAAGAATGAAAGTGGTGGAGGCGGGCACCTGTCGTAGTCACTTTCTCGCCACTAGGGCACAATACCCAACACCTGCGATGTAAGAGACACTCTGGTTCAGAATTTTAGTCCAGCACTGGCTGGCACCAAGGTGGGATAATACGGCAGAGGGGTGTAGTGGAAGGAAAACTGTGTGCTTCACAGCACCCAGAAAGCAGAGAGGTAAGGAGCAAGTGGCATATAGCAGTGATCCCCTCCAGGTCACAGCCAGTGATCCACCTCTTTCACCTAAATCCTTCCTTTAAACAGAAAGTTCACTGCATCACCCCCATCATCCAATCACCTTCCAGAAGCCCTTCTATGAGCACAGGAGGTTTTGGGGGGATGTCGTGATATAAACCATAACACCAGCCCCACCACCCATCTGTTCCGGCCCATGCTGGTGTCCAACATGCCTTCTGCTGGGACTGTCATTTAACCCCTCACAGCAGAGCCATGCCAGGGGCCAGAAGTGGAAAATAAAAGACAAAGCCTTAAAAAAAAAAAGCAAGTCTACTTTCTCCAAATTTTAGTTTTCTAGATGCATCTCCAACTATAAGGAAAAATTTTTTTTTCTCTGAGAAGACTGGAGTACGTTATTTGTTTGGGTCAGAGTTCAGAACAAACCAAATGCAAATGGAAGGCTGTAGAGACTTTGTTTGTTTGTTTGTTTGTTTTGTTATATTTTTTGAGACAGGGTCTCACTATGTAGTTGAGACTGACCTGGAACTCACTATGTAGCCCAGGCTGGTCTCGAACTCACAGCAATCCTCCTGCCTCAGCCTCCCGAGTGCACCACCATGCCTGGCTGTGGAGACATTATTGATTTTGCTAATATATTTACATGAATATGTGTCTGTGTCTACCTGGATACGTATGAACGTGCTCCACTTCTTCAGATAGAACAGTGGGGCAGTGACAAAGTACCATGCTATGAGGGTGACTTACCACCATGCCTGGCTGTAGAGACATTATTGATTTTGCTAATATATTTACATGAATATGTGTCTGTGTCTACCTGGATACGTATGAACGTGCTCCACTTCTTCAGATAGAACAGTGGGGCAGTGACAAAGTACCATGCTATGAGGGTGACTTTTCAAGTTCTCTGCGTGATGTCCTGGGTCTAGTGCCGGGCACTGGAGTAAAGCAAGGTGGAATGAATTTTTCCACTAGGGCATTAACAGGATGCCGAGGACACGTGGGACACGTGTCCAAATGTTTACAATACTGAGAAAGCATGGATTCACCACCATATGGGAGGAAAACTGAATTTAGAAGCTAGTAGCAAAGTGCTCATCATCCCACAGGCTGCTGACTCCAAAGTGACCAAGTTTTCACAGAGTGCATAGCCTTCCAGCCCCGCCTCCCCCAGGGTGGTGACATACAGTCATGAGACTAGATGCTGGCCCACGCTGAGTAAGTACTGTGTGTCACTTCCAGCTCAGGATGCTGAAAGAAGAAAGTGTGACCTCATGTGGTCCTTGTCCCTTCCACCACGTCCGGGAAATGATAAGAACTGGAGTAAACACCTTGGATTCGAAGATGAAAGCTGAGATGAAGGATTGGAAATACTTCTTCCTTGCTTGGTCTGTTCTAAGCCACCCCGTTTGGTGACTGCTGGAGAAAGAAAGTCCTCCTCCTTCTTGCAGCCATGGCATCTTCTTGTTTTTGTGGTATGGGTGGTTGAACCCAGGGTCACCACACTGAGCTACATCCACAGCCCTTTTTTATTTCATTTTTATTTTTATTTATTTATTTATTTATTTTTTCGAGGCAGGGTCTTGCTAAGTCACTCAATTGCCCAGGCTGTGCTTGGACTTGTGATCCTCTTGCCCCAGTCTCTCAGGTTGCTGGGGTGACTAGTGTGTGCCAGCACTCCCAGCGGCATTAATAAACTAATAAATGGCTCAAAGGACTGTTAAGTAGGAGATCAATAACCAGCCCACATGCTCCCTCACCCGTAGACCTCTGGTCTCCTGGCCTATGCCTGCCACTTCATAAGCAGTCAATCACCTCTAATGTGTCCCATTTAATAAGTGGTTAATTAATATTATCAACTATTCGCTATTAACATTCCCCACTTGTACAGAATTCTTGGCCTCCCATTGTCCTACTTCTGTGCTCAGCTATCCCTTTGGCTTATGAAGGAAATCTTTCCCAACTTTTACCACATTTCCGTCCAGATTCAAGGCTCACTCTAAATCTATTCTCTCCAAGAATGATTTTTTTAAAAAAAATCCTAATGTATGATAGTGCTGAACAAATGAAACCCAGAACCTTTAGATTGGAAGAGTTCCCACTTCTAGAGGTGGCCTTTGATGAACTGGCTCCATGTTCTCCAGAGAAACAGCATCAACGAGGAGGCTAAGAAATCGCAGTCTCTTGAGTCTGTAAGCTGGAAGAGTCCACAATGCAGTTCTAGTCCCCAAATTGCCAGGAGGAGGTGACATTTTATCATCTCAGAGTTTAGACGCCAGAGAAAAGCAGTCCTTCAGCTCAAAGCAGCCAGACGGGGGAAGTTCCCTCCTGTTCTCTGGAGCTCAACCTTTTTTTTCTTTTTTCTTTTCTTTTCTGTTTTCTTCTCTTCTCTTCTCCTTTTCTTTCTTTCTTTCTTTCCATTTTTTTCTTTTTTGTGTGTGTGCTATCAGGAATCGAACTCAGGACCTTACACTTGCCAGGCACGTGTGGCGCCACTGAGCTAAATTCCCAGCCTTTCAGCCTTTTTGTTTTATCCAGGACTTCAATTGACTGGATGAGGGTCTCTCACAGGGAGGGCAATCTACTTCACTCTCCCAGTTCAAATGTTCATCTCATCCCCAAGCCCACTCACAGACACACTCAAAATACTCGACCAGATATCTGGGCACCCCATGGTTAATTACCACTCTGAAGTGTGTGCTGTACCTTAGGCACTAGACTGGGTGCTTTATTTGTAGTTTGGTCTTTGGTGAGATAAGAAATAGTATCTCCAATTTACTGATGAGAAATAAAATATATGGCTCAGAGAGGCCAAATAACACACCTGAAGTAACTCAGCCTGCTGAGGCACAGCCTGGAGCCCAAGCAGTCCGAGGTCTTCCTTTTTTCTATTGCTCCTCTGTGGGTCTTGATGCCGGTTTTTGATACTGACTTTTCAACATGATATGACGTCCCTCCTGCACGCCTCTGTGTGGAAGGCCCCTTCTCTGCCCTCCCCGAGGTTTATTTTGAAGTCGTATCCAATTTTCAGTAACTTTCCCAAGACAAACTGGCCTCCAAAACATATTCGGAATCCAACCACTTCTTTCTCTGCCGCTCCCATTGTAGGTCCAGTCTCTTCGTTGCCCTCTGGATGACTGGAAGAGGCTTTGAATGGGTGTCCATTGCTGCCCCTCCCTGCAATTATTCCTCCATGTGCTAGTAAGACTGAAGTATCCAAAAACAAAATCAGGCAATATCTCTACCTCTCTTAACCCCCTCCCCCCGTAACTTCCAATAGTTATGTAGAATAAACTACTCATTTTCTACCTTGAGTCATAAAACCCTCCGTGCTGTGGCCATTCTCACATTCCAACCCCACGGCTCTCCCTTCCGTTCTGGCGGAGGGCTAATCTTGTAACAGTCATTGTGCCAGATGTCCTGCCCGCCTGGAGTGCCCTGCGCCCTACTTTACTTGAGCTTGACGTGGTCAAATCAAGCACAGCATTGCTGAAATGTTACCTCCTCTGAGGGGGCCTCGCAGCAGAAATAATCAGGGACTGGGTCAAGAGTCATTCTCTGTTTCATGGCCCCATGTGCATACTGTGTACTTCTTACATTAAATGCTGTTGGTTGTTTGTTCATTTACACACACGCTCCAAGAGGGTGCAAAACTGGGTCTTCTTTTCAGTTACATTCACACAACATAGAACACAAATTTTTGTTGGTTTGTTTTTTGAGACAGGGTCTCACTAAGTAGTTGAGACTGACCTGGAACTCACTGTGTAGCCCAGGCTGGTCTGGAACTCACAGCGATCCTCCTGCCTCAGCCTTCTGAGTGCTGAGATAACAGGCGTGCACCACCATGCCCGGCCCACAAAATATCTTTGAAGCTATGTGCCATGCACCAAAGGTGATGCAGCAATCCCAGGGCCTCATGATCTCAGTATGACCAGTATTCCAAAAGACGGGTTAAAAACAAATAAACAAAGTACTCTTAGTCTTGTGATCTGCTCAGTTCTTTCCAAAGAGTGGACATTGGGACCAAGTGAGTTTTTAGAATTATTAAAACTGTGGTTTTCAGGTTTTAACAAACTTACTATTCTGATTCAGAATCTTTAGAAGACTTAAATTGAATATCTTTTTAAAAAATTCTGCACAGCAGAATGGAATTGTTGATCTAACTGGAGGAGGGTAGAGAGAGGCAGGAGGCAAAACAGGTCCAGAAGAGATCTTGTCTTTTGCAGGCCAGCACCCTACAAGTGAAGAAAACCCGCTTTTCCAGTGGGTACATCTAGGGGTGGGGTGGGGATGGAAGTTGGGGGAGGACCACACAGGGACAGAATGGGGCTCCCGAGCTGGGGAAGGACAGCACACCCCATCCCTTTTTCTCTGAGTTGTTTTGCCCAATTTGTTTCTAGTGGTTCATGAACTGAGAAAACCATCGATGGAAACCCAGCAGGATAAAAATGGTACCCGGAGCGCCACACAAGCCCTACAGCAACTTCAGTGCTATGTCAGCTTGTGAGGGGCTGGATCTGGTCTTAAGTGGTCACGGATTCTACTTACCCATGAATGCGGAGTTTCATTTTCCAAGGGAGAGTGAATATTCTCCTCCTTTAGGAGCCGGTATTTCAGGTCTGGTATTGAAGAATGAGGGGACTGCTGAAAGCTTCCAAAGAGGAGCTCGCCCGCCTCTCTGCAGCTTGGCTCGGGTTCCCGTTCCAGCTACTTTAAGCGCCTGTACACAGCGTTCGTTTCCCATTACAAACTAGGAAATGTGGCTGCGCTTCGGAGGCACCGGTCCCCGGAGGACAGCGCCTGCTAGGGAGGCCGATTCCTCACTTCTCATTCTGGTCCGTAACTCGACGGTGAGGGTGAGGTTGAGTAATCGCCGAAGCGCCATTGTCTTCCCATCCTATTCTGCCCCGCTAACTTATAAAACAGCCTGTGACCCGCCCGAGGACTAGTGGATCAACCAGATGTTTCCTGAGCAAAGACAGCGTCCATTTCCCCTGGATCTCATCTTGCGCAAGGGCAGGGCTGGCAGGGCTCTTCCCCGGCTGACATCACTGGGGTAGGATTTCAAAGCGGCGAAGCCTGGCCGGGGAAGAGCTCAGCTGTCAGCCGTGCGCCGGGATTAACTGACCCAGATAACCAGGGAGAAGAAAACAGCAATTTGAGCGTGTTTCTTCTGCAGCAGGAAGCAGCCTGCCTCTCTCCCGCCTCCTGAACACCCACGGACGAAGGGAGCCTTTCTCTCGCTGTGCACACACAGGCTCGGGTCCTGCTGACCAGTTGCTGCCCATCCCGACTCCTCGCATCTCCTAACTTGTGCCTGAAGTGAGATAGGTTTAATTCGCTGCAATGAATAACGGTGTTAACGCATCCTCCTTCCCTAAGCAAAACAAATTCTAAAGAATCTGATTTTCAGTCATCTATTTATAGATCACTAGCTTGTTAGTTGGTGAGCGAAGACCTGGTTACATAAAATATTTTTTTAATGTAGAAAACAACTGATAGGGAATTGCTAGCTTCCCTACAGAAATGCTACTAAACATAAGGCATAAATAATCAAAAAGGATGTGTGAGCCATCATTATGATTTCATAAAAGGTGAAGTTACAAGCGATTTTTTAATGCTCTTCATCTAAACTACTGAGACCTAAAAAGTTCTGTATGACCAAGGATCTGGCCCCAGCCTACTCTTCAAGCCACACCCGCTCCTTGACTTCGTACATCCAGCTTCCTCCTCTCTGTTCCTATAATCCATCAGGTCTTTGATTTTGCTGTTTCCGTCTTCCCCAGATCTGTGTGTGGCACAGTATGTAGGGTACGCAGTCTTCTGGCTGGGGTGGGGACCGCCCCATTGGTTATGGCCAAAGCAGGCTGTGAGCAGTGCAGGCTGCAAAGAGTGAACCCCACAACTGGCTTGTTTATGGAAGTGAGTCGGACGGAAGCCTACGTGCCAAAGTCAGAGTGACTCTTACCCAAATTCCATTACTAGGATTAAAATGTTCTTTACTAAAACGACAAGGTTATTTGCTAATCGCAACCTATATTCTGTCTGTTCTCTTCCTATTTCAAGAATGCTTTGTCTCTTCCTTTACAAGCCTTGCCTGCGTCAACAATGTATCCCTAGCAACAACATGCTTCCCCTTTACTCTAACTTAACTGTGATGTCACACTAAATATCAACAGCTTTGGCTGGCCGGGGCCTTGGCTTGCTCAAGCCTCTGCCTGCATAAGGTGCTGAACATCCGGGTTCCTCATATCTGTCTCTTTAACTCTCCCTGTCTCTCTTCCCTCCTTAGCCATAGCACTGAGCAGGATACCAGAACCCACTGCGAGGGGCTCCGGTAACCTGGTAGGAATTTCCTGGTGTGAGTTGTCCTCTGCGGGCAGGTTCCAGTGAGGTGCTTCTCAAGAATAGAAGAGGGCAGGGCCAGGCATTTAGCTCAGTGGTTCTGGCACCTGCCTCGCAAGTGCAAGGGCTAAGTTTGATCCCTAACCCCCCCCCCAAAAAAAAAAGAATAGAAGAGGAGGGCCAGGCATTTAGCTCAGTGGTTCTGGCCCCTGCCTCGCAAGTGCAAGGGCTAAGTTTGATCCCTAACCCCCCCCCCAAAAAAAAAGAATAGAAGAGTGCAAACTGATGTGCACATCTGAGGTCGAGCTGTGAGACAGTGACTCCCAGGTTTGCTCATTACTCTCTGTCTTTTCTTACTTGTTCTCATGAAGCAAGGTGCCTTTTGTGGGCCACCCTGTGGAGAGGACAGCATGACAAGGAACTGGCCTAGGAGGAAGTGAATCCTGCCACCCATCTTCTGAGTGAGGTTGGTAACAGAGCCTCCTTGGCAGAGCATGCAGCGACCACAGCCTTTGTGGAAACCCCAGTGACTGCCTCATGAGAGCTCCTGAGCCAGAGGACCCAGCTAAGCCATGGGCAGGCTCCAGATACACTGAAGCTGCGAGATAATAAATGCTGTTAATAGCTGGGCGTGCTGATGCACATCTGTAATCACAGCACTCTAGGAGGCTGAAGGCAGAAGGACTGCAAGTTCAAGCCCAGTCTGGGCAAGTTAGGAATTTAGGGAGATTCTGTCTCAAAAAAAAAAAAAAAAAAAAAAAAAAAGATTAGGGATGTAGCTCATTGTAAAGGCCTAAGTTTCAATCCCCAGGACTGCAATAACCAGACAAATAAATGTCACTATTTTAAGCGAATAAATCCTAGGGTAATTTGTGAGGTAGCAATTGATCACTAACACAATGCCTCATGTAAATCTCCGCTCAGCTATCTCCTTCCCTAAAGGAGTTTCTTACCTCCAGACAAAACAAAACAAAACGAGAAAGACGGACCGCACATTACTCTCTCCCCTTTTCCCAACTTTATTTTTCTTCATAGAAATTATTGCTACTTACATGTATATCACATATTTCCCTCTCCACCCAGAGTGGAAACTCATTGAACAAATGCCTGTCCTTTTGCTGGAGAACAAGATGGACATGTATTTAGCTCAAGGATTAATCAACAAATTTATAGGGCGGCTATATGCCAGGCCCCGTGTTTATAGGTTGTTTGGCTTCAGATCTCTGGTATCTGGGCCAATTAATTTCAGTTCATCAGCTCAGCTGATTTTGTTTTGTGCACGCGTGCACGCATGTGTGTGTGTGTGTGTGTGTGTGTGTGTATTTAATTTTTTGTTCCACTGCTCTGATTGGATGATGTACCTTTCTACACCTTTAACTGAGTATTTGATTAAAATACTGTATAGGTTAGAGACAAGGGCAGAGCGTGTATACATTTGATTGATGTCCACTGTTGAATAAATATAATTATTTAGAAAGTTCTTGCTTTGCACTCTGCTAGAGTCTGTCTTCCTACTATTAGTCTTGCTTTATTCTCAGAATTAAAATATAGAAAAATTCGTCCATTTCTTCCTTTAAGACCTTTCATCATTGCTCTAGTAACTATCTCTTAACATTTAAGTACAGTGTGTTGAATTGATTGTCTCTTTTCTGCGTTATAAACTTTCCCCAGGTCTTCAGTGTTTCTTTCTTTTGTGCCCCTTGTTGAAGTTAAGCCTGCAGGTTTAACTTCCTCTTCCAGAGCAGGTGTCTGGGTTTCACTCGCCACCTGGGTTCCAGGGCAGGCGGGCCTCCTGGGTGGCCTCCCGCCTCACCGGCACCTGGACAGGGCCCTAGCTCTGTGCCTCAGGCTCACATCCTCGAATCTCAAGGCAGAGACTCATCTCCCAGGCGCATGAGCAGCACATGTACAGTAGCCGGTGCACGCATGTGCAGCGGAAGTGGAGGAAGACCATGGCCTGGCTCTGCTCTGCTCTTTGCGGTACCAGCGGCAGACCACCCCTCAGCGCTGATAAACCCTGTTGCTCCCGTCTTTTACAGCTGGGCTGGTCCACGAGCATCCCAACCTACAGCGTTCTCCACAATTTTATCTTTTTTTTTTTTTTCCTCCAGTACTGGAGATTGAAACCTGGGCCTTTCACGCTGAGCTACATCCCCAGCCCTGTACTATGTTTCATTTTGAGACAGGGTCTCACTAAGGTGTAAATTGCCCTCAAACTTGTGGTCCCCTGGTTCAGCTGGGGTTACAGATTTGCACCACATGTCCCGCTCTGTTTTCTGTTTGTTTCTGGACTCAAAGTGCAGCAACTCGTATGTTCTAGTCCTTACGTTTTTATTCTTGGGGGCGTGTGTGTGCAAGTATTAATCGTCATGCTTCCTATTTTAAATATATATACATATGAATATATATTTCACACAGATGTCTAGGTATACAGCTGGGTCAGCTTATCCACTACCTGGAAACCATTCCATCTCCTCTTCTGTTAGCCCTTCACATATTACCACACCCTTCCTCCTTAGAGCGAACGAACATCTCCAGTTCCGCTAATGATTCTGCTAGTGTAATTTTGTGGCCTCTTCAAACTCTCCCCTTATTCCTCTAGACACAAAGTCTGTTAGCTGGTCTGGCGCATAACGTGGCTAGGAATACTCACAGTACAACAGGATTAGCACTTCTTCTATCTTCTTTTTTTTTTTTTTCTGTTAATCTTGGGTCTTGCTTATCTTTCTAAGAATAACCAATTCCTTTCCCATTATTTTCTAAATTTTAAATGTATCAACTCTGCCAAGAATAGCTCTTGCCTCTTCTACTTGTGTAATCGATCACTAACAAAAATGAAGGACTTTCTGGCCGGGGATTTAGCTCAGTGACACCGTACCTGCCTCGCAAGTGCAAGATCCTTCTGGTAACAGAAAAAACAAACAAACGTTGAAGGCCTTTACCCCAAACCTTAGTGAGCTTGACATGTTAACCACCCCACCCGATTTTAGAGCTTGTGTCTAGATGTGCAAAAGACTAGCCTCAACTTATTCTGGTCTTTGCCAACCTGACAATCTTCTGTTCCCTGTGAGTTACAATTCCCTCCACCTGTAGAACACTTTCTCCTTGAATGCTCATTTACCAGAGAGTATATTACTTTATATTCTCCAGCCAAACCTGTTCTACATACTGGGATTATATTATCCATTTATTCAACAATATTTTTCAAGGGCCAACTATGTGTCAGTAACCAAGCCTGGCATTGGTGTCAAAGAGATGAATAAGCATCACTGTTCACCATATCGGATTTGTAATCTAGTATTTATATTTTTATACTAATTTATAGGCTTATAATCAGCAGTGATTGTACAATCATCATTATATATTTTTTGAAAAAGAACCAATCTCGATAATGTAAACATAGCAATATGTTCATTGTAGCATCCAGGGCACGGGGCATATGGGTGTGTGTTGTACAAGTCCTTTAACTTTCTGTACTATATATTCATTGTACTATAAAACATTGAGGAAAACTTTGCCTGTTCTTCTTAAGCTGTTTTTATTTTAGTTTTCATCCATGGAATTGTACCTAGACCCATGTCTCTCTTTTGAACATTTTGGATTGATTTACTTGCTTTTTCTTTACAAATGTATTTTTTCAGGATGCCACAACCTCTTTCTTCCAGGGATCCTGGGAAAACTGTCACATAGAGAAAAACCACTGAATCCAGGACCCAAACTCTCAGGCTAGCAGCCACTGGCTTTGTGACCCAGGCAAGTCACTTAATGTATTTGATCCTTGCTATTTCTCATTCCTGAATCAGGGTAACCGTATTCACACCCAGGTAGTTGTAAATAGTAAAATCATGTATGGAATCACTTAGCATATTAAAAATACCTTCTTCCTCATCTCCACCACTTTATCCACCTGTCTGTCTTGCACACATGTATTATTTTCTTTCCTTAAAAAATCTGAATTACGCAGTTAATATTTATTCATGCTATTCTCTTCCTCTGCTCTTTGAAAAATGAGATTGTTAGCGTGACATCCATAATGGTACTGGATGATTTTGTTTTGTAAATACGTACCGGAAGATAAGAATCTGTCCATCCCTTTGAAGATTCCTTTTGTTCAGGTATGGAATTGAGGGCAGGGGAGCACTACCTCATCTCCATGGGGTAGATATGTAATTGCTGCTAAATTGTAAATGTCCCGCCTTATTGTGTATGTTTATGGTATTATTGCCTGTGTTCCCCGGGGGCACTTTCTGCAATGTTATTTACCCTTTCGGGTGTCTGCAAAATCCCCGGATATCCTCTGTAAACAACTTCAAGGCTGTATCTTCCTGATAAGGCTTCCTAAATTCTTCTTTCAGCTTTTGCTCGTGATGTTCCCAGAGTAGCATGTCATAGCTCACAATACCTTATACTTCTTACCCCTGTGCAGCCAGAGGAACGACCTCTTCCACCTTGTATCCCTCGTGTGTAGGATTGGGGCCAACTGGTTGGCTGTCATCAGAGGTAATTCATGGGTGAATGAATAGAGTTCATCGTCCTGGGTTCAGTTTCCTCCTTCATCTAATGCAAGATGGTCAAGGGACTTCAAAACTTCATTCAACGCCGAAATTTTGTGACTTTTCACCTTTGTTTGATGTTACTCACACATATCTTTTTGTTGTTTTTTGAGACAGGGTCTCACTGCATAGTTCAGACTGGCCTTGCACTCACTAGGTAGCCTAAACTGGCCTTGAACTCGTGGTGATCCTTCTGCCTCAGCCTCCCAAGTACTAGGATTGCAGGCATGCGCCACCACACCCTGCTCTGTACCTTTTAAATTTTAAGTATTTTTCTTAATTCTAGAGCTTCCTGTATGTGCCAAGGATTATTCCTTTATAAGCAACTGGGATGTGGCTGTGCGTACATTGTTCTCTGCCTGTTTGCTCTTCATTGGTCAGCGGCTTCACATCGAGGACATGGGTCTGCTGTGTTCGCAGTCCCTCAGCATATTGCCAGTCCTCACGAACCCTGCTCCCTTCATCCCTCAGATTACCCAGTTTAGCACATCCCTTCTGTCTTGTGTTCTAACTTTCTGGAGGAGGTCAAGTGGAATCACTTATCCTGGAGTCTGCTAAGTCTCTCAAGTATTAAGATAATATTGGCTCAAACTGGGCATGGTGTTGCTCGCCTGTAATCCCAGCATGTGGGAGGCTGAGCCAGGAGGATCCTTGTGAGATCGAGACTGGCCTGAGCTACGTAGTGAGGGAAGTCTGAACTACACAGTGAGAAACTGTCTAAAAAAAAAAAAAAGATAATATTGGCTCTCTGATCCTTTCTTTTTTTTGTTTGTTGTTGTTGGTTATTGTTATTACCGGGGACAAACTCAGGACCTTGTGCTTGAGAGGCAGGCGCGGTGCCACTGAGCTAAACCCCCTGACCTCTCAGACGCTTTTATCCTGCAGTATCTGCTGAGTTTGAGTTTCTTTGGAGACATTTAAATTCTAACCCTTTAGCCCACTGTATAAATTAATGCAGGCGGTGGTTCCCACCATCACGAGATTAAAAGGTGATAGGTTGCGTAAGCTAATGACACAAATAAACACTATATTGCTGCTTCTCGTTTTACTACTTCTGGGGTCCTCATAAGAGACAGCAGGGTTTCTCCCATTTTGGAGGAAGTGAAGTGCAGCCTGAGGAATCCTATCATTTCCCAGCGTTATCCTGCAGCTGGGAAGGACCCACCTTCTAAGTACAAATTAAGCGTCCTTCCGTAATATCGCGATACTACATGGCAAGTGCGCAGCGTCGGTACAAGTCCACGGCTCGCAAAAATGAGAGTTCACCTTTCCATAGTAGAGCTTGACTCTCAAGTGCAAGTAAGCTTTACATCTTTGTTCGATTATCAAAGCCAAATCTTTCCTGTATTGATTAAACCAATACAGCCATATTTAATGTAAGAAGTGACATCTCACCCCTTATCTTCTCTCTTTTTTTTTTTTTTTTTTTTTTTTTTTTTG